TACAGCACTTCCTGTCACGCCTGCACATTCAGAAATTTCCATATTTAGAAAAATTCAGTGGGGGTACCAGTGAGGGAACAGGACAATAATTGTAACCCCACTTTATATCTAACAAATTTTCAATATTGAGCCCTGACAGTTGTCCTCCCACAGTCTGTCTGGCCGCTGTTTGTATCCCCAGTCTCAAGAAACTGTGCTTTTCTAACTTTGCCATTAGTACAATGTTTAAACCTTTATTCCCTAACCTTAGCAAATATCCAACTATTTTCTACAGTTTGTTTTCATCATGTCAACCAACTAATAACCTTACATGTATCTATAGTTGTCCTTTATGGTCCACACTCTTAGCTTTCTGTCTGTATCTATAGTTGTTTCACCATTATTTAAAAACCTTTTATAACAGGGAATAATTTTTCAAAGACCTGAGTAACAAAGTATAGCTGATATTGAGCTCTCTCAACCGAGGAAGTGTTTATGAAGTGTATACCTTGTACCTATAAGGTGGCCCCTTGTGCTACAGACTGTGCAAGTTAAAGAACCCTTGACAGTTGGAAATCGAAAATGAGCAGGCTAATGTTGCTGTCCTTGCAAAAATTTCTCCCATTGCTCCCTGCATAGTGTTGCCCTTCTTCATTGGCCCACAAGGTGCAGAAAAGTAGTAGGAAGTAAAACTCCATTCATTTCATTTCATTTGTACCTATAAGGAAATGATTGTAAAGACCTGTATAGAAATTTGATGAACTCTAGTTAATTACCTAGAGAATGTAATGGATTGTATTAAATTGTATTGTATTAAAGACCACACCCTAGTCTTTGTGTCATCAGATAAACTATCATCTATTTCCTTAATTAACTCAGGTATACTTATATAGTCTGAAAATACTTCCTTTAGGCTATAGTCTCAACAATCATACCAGTCTCATTTATTCTAATAAATTATTGTATTCTAATGACATTATTTTTAGCTGATCAATGTGTAAAATGTAGGTTTCTTGCTAAAATGATCAATCATTGATAAACATAAAAATCTCTCTTCTACTTTCAATTTAATATAATGAGGCAAATTTTCGCATATTTTCTTCAGGCCTTAAAATGATCAATTATGGGATAGCAGAAGCCATATTGCTCTCATTTGGATTTCGTTTTGTAATGAGAAAGAAGAGTTAAAAATAAAACAAATGACATAGATTTATGTTAAAAGATAGGTGATATGGGGCATGTTATCCCAATCATGAAGCTGTCAGTAGTCCAATTTGTTAGTCAAGAATGGTTTGATTGAAACTAAACTTCAGATGATTTAAAGTATATGAGTTATCTGATTGGTCAATCATTAATATTAAGTTTTGTTATCCAGTCTGAATTTCTAAAATGTTTATCTTAAAGTAGCTAATTTTTTGAGAATAAGGCTCCAGTTTGTTGGTCAAGAAAGTTTGATATTACCAAGGTGCAGTGTTTCAGACTATCTGGTGAATGTTTCAAACAAGAACCGAAAGTAAAAACCATGTTTGTTAATTAAAATAATGGTTTTATTGATCAGAAACATTCCCTTGCTGTGTTTTCAGTTTTTAATGATTCTCAGACCAAGAATGTTTGGTGTTAATCATTCTGTCATCTATGAGCTGTTTTTTTTTTCTGGAGTGTAAGTCCTGTTCACACTGGGCGATAATTTGACCATGATAATACCACAATATCACTTCAATCTTCCGTCAGCTATACAAGAGGCCACAAGAAACGATGCAAAGTAGACAACTGAGCATTGATCACATGTCCAGATGACATGGTGCTGTCAAATAATATTTATTTAATACAATATCTTTATAACTAATATGTAAACAATTTAATTGGTAAATTTCAAGAAGGAAGTAGATTGGAAATAGGTTGTAGATGGGTTAGGGTTCAAGGGAGAACATGATACACATTGATCAATATGCAATTTATCAATATCACTTTTATAATTTGTGAAAAAAAAACAAACAATATTTGTCTGTGCTGGAGGGTATAAATAGTTTTGAAGTGTGTTGTAGTAAATAAACTAAATAATGAATGATATGAGATGAGTGATAGCTGGTACAGGATATGCTTTATTGCTTCAGTCCATCATCTCTCCAACACGTCCTTGATATTTCTACCCTGTTTCACTGTAGCAGGTAAACCTCACTTTAAGGACAGAGGTAATAGAATCATGATGTCACATGATTATCAAACCAGCCAATAAACATGCTCATGTTGATAGTCATTTTTTACAGTTTGTTTTGTAAACAGAAACACACTGCTTCTTGTATTCAAAACTAAGAGAAAAAGGTGGGGTGTTCAAGGGATAACTGGTCGCACAAGCCAATCTTTATCTCGTTCTTGTATTCAAAGGCTGTTTTCATTATTTAAAATTCATCACCTAATACACAGCTATTAGATAAAGTGAACTCTTGTTCCATCTATTTATCAATAAGGGGCGTGGTACAATACAGATGAAATTTCAGACATGAGCTGGTTTTAACCTAGAAATATCGTCTTTTTCAATCATATAGAATATATAAAAGCATGGTAGATCCACCTGAACAAATTCTAGAAGTTTCATGAACATTGCCTTGAGGTATGATTTATAAGCTCCTCCAACACCTTGATGATTTACAATGTACTGTTTGATCTTGAATACAGCTGATAACAACCTCCATAATAACTGACACATTCATATCATTGTTATAGATATTATTTATATAGTCACAAAACTGATATTCAACCATCAAACCCAATCTAATTAATATGCTGATCTGATGGTCTCATTTTTAAAAAACCCCAGGAAAATGGCTTCCATATCTGCATTTTAGTGTTGATCTGATACCACTTTTCATTATGAAATACTTACTCACTTATGATTGATATACTTCCACATGTGAAAAGTTCATTAGCTGTTAATTATAATAATAATAATGTGTATATTTATATAGCGCTAAACTCCACACAAAAGTGTGCTCATAGCGCAAACAAAAAAGGTATAAAGATTAACAAGAGTCGAATAAAACAGTTTTCACTTTGTTCTTGAACTTTTTGTGTGTTGGCAAGGATTTTAGACTTTCTGAAGACATAAGGAGGTTATTCCAAACGTTGGTTGTGGCCAATGAAAAAGCACGGAAACCATATGTTTTCATGCTATAATTTGGCACTTGTAGTAGAGATCTCAGATTTCATGCAGGGACTTTCGTTGCCAGAAGATCAGTCAGGTATTCTTGAGACACGTTTGAGGTACATTGGTAAGTCAAAGAGGCGATTTTATGATCGATCCGCTTCTATACTGGCAACCAATGGAGCTTTTTCAGAATTGGTGTAATATGGGCGTATTTTGGCGATTTTGTTACTATGTGGGCGGCGGTATTTTGGATTGATTGCAGTCTTGTTATATTGGAGGAAGATGTTTCGGAAAGGAGACTATCACAGTAGTTGATACGAGTTGAATCAAGGAACAAACAAGTGTTGCTGCCGCAGACTCAGTAATTAACTGTCTGATGCTTACAATGTTTCTGAGGTGATAATAGCATTTCTTACAGACGTCGTTCACTTGCTTCTCCATGCTTAATGTGGAATCAAGTATCACAACCAGATTTTTGACACTGTCTGGGAATGGCAAGATGTTATTGCCTACTTGTAAATGATCTGCTTGTAGCTTTGTGATACGGAATTGTTACCAATGTTTTACCAAAATGTTGTTTAGGATTTCGGGTTTGGTTTCACAGTTTGGATTGTTAGTATGCATCAGAGGTCATTCAGTCCAAATGGTGTGTATTCCTTAACTTGAAATTCTAGTTGTTTTAAGCTTAATGTTGAGAATGTTGCAGCCTCTGAAATAAAATCACTAAGTTTTATCTGGAAACCTGCTCAGTTCTGGACTCCTACATTAGAATTGCATCAAGAATGGCTAATTTAAGCCTATTCCTGGTATGATATTATATATAATATATTGATATATTGATATAGGTGGTAATTGAAGAATATGACACCAAGTATTATGATCCATTATAAATCTGTCCAGATATCATATTTATACTTTATGGTTTTATGCCCGGTTTATACGTGTATAATAATCAATTAATCTGGATGTAAGATTGAAATATGGTCAGGTTAAAGAAAAAAGTAGGTTTTTTGCTCTTTTTGAAACATAAATTTTCACTGCAATGTTTAAATTGATTATCTTAATGGGTTCTTATAATACTATAGTACTCTAACTTTCACAATTCCAATTTCCGATAGTTAGGTAGACTGTAATTTCAATAAAATGCAAACCACAAATAATATTTGATCCCATAGTTAAAATGATCAAATATAAGATAAAAAAAAGGTTTTGAAAAACTATCAACTAGCTACAATCCTGATGAGGGTTTGATTTTTAATTAATTTCATTTGACTTATAAGAAATCTATTTCAGCAATCAGTTGATGAATAAACAATTAATTAATTAAACATTTATTCAGAAAATAGTCAGTTATATAACCATATATTCACTTGTCACAGTCAGACTGTTGGGTTTTGTTTTGCAAGAATTTTTGGAATTGTTTGGCTTGTGATTCCATGTCTATAGAAAAAGAGTTGTAGTAGGCATAGCTTTAAAATTACTGTCTGCAGGATTTTGTTTAAGGATGTTATTAGAGATCTCATTTTCAGTGATGTCATGTGGTACAGAAGGAATATTGTTAAGTTTCAGAATCTGAAATGGAAGATGGAATTTATTTAAAAATATCTCAAAATATTTGGAAAGTTTATTTTCCAAACTGTTACTTTGTGACCTTTGTCAGCGCTGTTATTGCGATCCATCCTTATATACATTATAATGCTCCATTAGTTGGACATTTTAAATTGACCTGCTAAGGGTTCATTGTTTTATTCATATCAGATATTTATCCTAATCAGAAGTAGGTTAATTAATTAATTCATTAATTCATTAATTCATTCATTCATTCATTCATTCATTCATTCATTCATTCATTCATTCATTCCAGGAATGTGCTAAGGAAGAAAGGAAGATGAGAAAACGATGTAAAAATAAAAATGTTGATTCAGCTCACATGGAAAGGTTACGTATTAAATTTGTAGAGCAAGCTAAGAAATATTTTGGAGTTCCGTATGCTAAAAAATACTGGTCAGCAGACAGTAAGTATTGCTGTATTTATTCTTGAGTCATCCTATAACTTGTTGATTTGCTCCAAATTACGTGAAAATACCCTGAAATTTCAAAAATATTCTTGACAATGTCAAATACATGTACTGCTAATTTTGTAAGTCCAAGTAACAACATTTACAAAGTAGCTGTCCTAATCTGTATCTGTATTTTGTATCTGAAATGTGTCAGCAGTAGAAGATGAGCTGTTTTGAACTCAATTCCATTTCCCCAACATAATAAGTGGAGAATAGTAGAATATGAAACTCTGTGTCAGTTCTATACCGGAGAACTTTTACCAAATAAACAATTTATGTGGCTTCTCTGAAGAGGACATCTTCAGTTGCAGAGTAGTAGAGTTTTGGAAGAACGTGCCTACTGGTGCTAAATTTCAATCGAATCTTTGTCAAGTCAAGTTTGAGCTCAGTTGTTTTTTTTGTTTTTTGTAGCACCTGAGTATAACTCTCCTATATTCCTGGATTGCTGTGGTTTGGTTCGACAAGTTTTACGAGACCTGAAGAAGGAGTTCCGTTTCAAGATTGGTCCGTGGAATCAGGCGTATATGTTTGATACTCTACCAATTATTATAGACAAAGAGGAAGACATGAGACCTGGTGATCTAGTCTTTATGTCTGGCTTATACACCAATAAGAAAAGTAAGACATTAGTTATTTTGAGAAGATTATTGTTTTGGGTGACAGGAGAGTTTAAAGTGGCAAATTGAGGGTAACCTTCTCAAATGAAGTATCTACCACCCAACTGTACAATTGTACCACCTATGGAAAAGTCAATAACTGGGTCTTTAATTTAGTAATTGGGTCTTTAATTTAATAATTGGTTCTTTAATGTAATGATTGGGTCTTTAATTTAATAACTGGGTCTTTAATTTAATAAGTGGGTCTTTAATTTAATAATTGGGTCTTTAATTTAATAATTATGTCTTTAATTTAATAATTTGGTCTGTAATGTATTAATTTATTTCATTAATTTTAATTGAAATACACCTTTTCTATGAAATATCTGCCATCCAAGGGCATCACAGATTAGAATAGTTCATATACATTACTGCTTGCTTATTCACAAGTGTGCACATTTACTTGCTCAAAGAATCACCAGATATCTAGCCAAGACTGACTTGCAAACCAGAGTGGTCTACTGAAGTATTTTCAACTTTCTTGAAGCTGATTATGAACAACTGCATTTTTTATTCTAGACAAGAAACAGCGTCATAACATGACTCATGTAGAAATTTGGTATGGTGACGGCCCTAAGACGATTGGTTCACGCTGGAATAATGGTAAAGTTCAGATATTTGATAGTTATAGATTCCAGGCTAAAAGTTTCCACAGTGAAGAATATTATTTTAGATCTATTGATACATGGTTAAGAGGGATCTGTAAAAGGTAATAAGCTTTGATATCGGGCAAGTGATGCGAGCTTAGCATAACATACTAACCCTTATAGATTAACTTAGACCAGTGAAGCAATTTATGAAAATAAGAATATTTTTGCTACTTTCTGATAAAAATGGTAAAATGGTTACTTATCTGCTTTCAAGCTATGTTCACCTTTTAGCCAATAGATTTTGGGCTTAGGTGATATTTAGGATGGCCTTGTTTTCTACAACTTGTTTTCCCTTTTTTGACAATTGAGTATGAACATTTTTCCGGATTAATGTAAACTTATATGGATATATTTTAACCCTTATCAGAGTTTAACTAGAGCAAAGTAAAAACTTTCCACCGAACTTATATAACGCTTTGTATCAAAAGTCTTTACAAAGTTTACATTATGACCATAGCCAGTGCTTCTATAAGAGCATTGCTCATTCTCATCACTCATTTAACTACTTGTTATAAAGGATTTTGTTTCCTTCACTTTCATTATAAATATCATCTATCATAGTAATTATATCTTTTGTAGTTTTTGTCCTCAACATCCATGGCGTAGATCAAAACACAAACCTGGTAAAAAATCCATCTTTAAACCTGACGATGATGAATTAATAGAGGAAGATGAAAAGGCAAGTGGATCAGATTGCGAGAGAGAAAGTGACAATTTGAGAAAGAACCTGACAGAGCAAACAACTGAAAAAGTGCATAAGAATGTGGTAGATGTAGTTAGTATAGATAAAGCATGTTCTAACAGTAAGCTTACTGAGAAACTCGAGAGTGATTTATCTTGTAAATTATCAGAGCAAGATTATCTTGTCAAAACATCTAATGTTTTTATACATCATGACAATATAGCGGAAAAGGATGAGAAAAATGTTGAAGATGAAAGAAAGAATGATGGTGTTAAAGAGCAAGAACTTACTCAAATTCAGTCAGATTTGGAAGTGGAAAATGAAGTAATTAATGCTATTACAGTATCAGAGTTTACTCGGTTTGTGACTGATTTTGAAGATAAAAATGAGGTAACGAATGAAGAAGAACCAAGGAATTCTGAAAATCAGTCTGGGTTGAATGGCCTTGATAAGCAAAATCTTAAATCAGACAAAATTGATGATGGAAACATTAAAAGTACTGAAAATCATTTTCAGAAGACTGAAGAAGAGGATGTCCAAATTGAAAATTTTAAAGAAAGTTCTCCAGGTCAATTTGGTGTAAGGGAAGAAGCCACAAGCATAGATGGTGAAAAGGAAAGTACTGCCTTGCCTCATGGTGCCATGTTTTCCAGTTTGAAAGAAGATGGAGGTGGTGGTCAACTTTCAGAAGTTGAGGATCAAGATCTATTTGATTCTCAGATTGAAGATATGCTATTGAAAGAACAGAAAGAGGACCAAACCCGAATCCTTGCAAACTCTGAACAAATATTATCAAGCCTTGAAATTAATGAAGATGCATTGAGGAATCAGCTAGATAGAAAGACACAAAAGATTTCAGATCAAACAAAATTTGAAGACAAACTTTGTGAGAAACAACAACTTTGGACGAAAAATTCAAAAGGCTTCATTAATCAAAGAGACAATTTGATGCTCAAAAGTACAAGAATATTAAATGTGACAGAACCAAGCCAAGAATTTCACCCTAACATCATCAATATGTCAGATGAGTCAGCCATCTTGTATCCAAGCAGGCGTGTCATACCAGATGACAGCACATCAGAAGATGACAGATTTCCTGTTGGTGAAGAATTTTCAAATGAAATATGTGAAAATATGGACAATGATTCCACACAAGGTGGATCCCAGCAAGTCAGCAAACAGTTGGATTTTGATCATTCCTTTCTAAATTCTGAAAATTTAAATCTGAAATTTCGGATCAAAGCAGTGTCGAGGATGCTGATTCTCAAGATGAAGAATGTTCCATGAACAACACAAGTTTTACAATCTATGACCTTGACATTGATTCTGATGTAGAATTCAAGATGGCTGACTTGGCAGACGGTGGTGGTGACTCAGCTTATGATGATGAATGGTCCAATCCTTCCTTCACCATGTCCGATTCAGATTGTCATTGTAATTGTGACTATTGTCTTCAGGATGCTCCTGCCTTCCAGGGTCTGGAACTTTGGAGTAGTTCCTTTACAGATAATCCTAATAAATCTGAAAATACAAGGAAAACCTCTGTGATTGGTGAAGCAGAAGATGATTGCCTTCATAATGCTCTTTCTTCTCTCAGTTTCGAATCTTGCAATAGTTCTGCATCTGGACTCTCAAAAGATGACTGCTTTTTAGATCTTCCTGGGAAGCAAGATCTTGCAGTTAATCCTAAGGTCAAATCTGTAGGTTTAACTCAAGACAAAGATATGTCTGAGACAGGTGTTCATAACAATCCAGAAACACTGACAGCTTCAGAGTTTCAAGATCTGAAATGGGCAACAGAAGAAGAACCAATATCAGATTCTAATAGAAAAGATTCATCTGTGGCAGAAAACAACTTAAATCAGTCCAATAGTAGACAGGGTTCTTCCAATCATGGAAGTGAACAGATAGAAACTCCTTATGAACTGAAATTCAGTAGACTTCATAGTATTACTGATAGTAGTGAGATGGATTATGATAATAAAATGAAGGATAACAAGAGTTTGGATGATCACTTGGCAGACTTCCATGCTGTCTCAAGCTCTGGTGAAGTGAGGGTGATGGAACATACCACAATCTCTGGTGATCAAAGCTCAATTGAGACATCATCTGAAAGCCAAGATGCTTATGAGTCATACAGTGTATCTGAGTTGTCTGGTTTTTCTGTGTCACCTAGTATTTCTAAAATACATGATGGTTCCAAGCAACTTAGTATTTCTCATCCACATTCTGTTTCTGAGCCACATGATGTTTCTAAGCTACATGGTATCTATGAGCCACATGGTGTTTTTGAGCCACCTGAGATTTCTGTGCCACGTGGTATTTCTGGGTCACATGGAGCTTCTGAGGTGATAACTGATGAACCAGTTGATAGTGACAACAACCAGTCTGGAAATTCATCAAAAGATTCCAATAAACCTGCAGGTAAGTCTGATTTATATCAGTAATTCAGATTTTGGATTGAAAGCAGAAACCACTCTAGGGAGCTTTTTTAACCTGGGAAGGATTAGAACCTGATTCACCTATGCACCAAGAAGGATAAGTTTTTCGGTAGATGTTTAGAAAGATTTGACACATGTATTGCTTTAAGTTAATCTTCATTTCACAATTTATGTCCCTTTGTCAACACCAGGCTATAGGCACTGTGCCTATATTTTTTATTTATTTGCACTGTGCTTTACACTAGCTGGGCAAGACTTGCTCACCCTTCTAAAAAAAACCCTGCTGATACAGACCAAAAACTCCAAAAAAAAAACTCAAATTACAGTGATTATATCGACATAACGTGATGTTCCTGAATGAAAGTGACTGTATTTTTTTCTAATTTGAATATTATTTTTAATTAAAGTAAAACTGAACTAAAGATTAGAATTAGAAAAAAATCAAATATATTGAATAAGTGTCAAAATTTGTCAAATACTGTTTTTATATTCGTTCTTTCAGAGCTGTAATTATTCTCAATACTTTTTCCTTATGTTAAATTAATCTTTATAGCGTCTCAAAATACAACTTATTTGTACCTAAATGATGATTAATTAAGTGTACAGGCTAGTAAGTGATGCAGAACAAAAATTCACATATTATTTTTGTACATATTGAATAGCCTGGGGCTCACCAATCAAGATAAACCTGTACTCTAATTTACCCTGCTTGAGGAAATACTGAGGAAATAGTTTTGTACGGCTGATTGAGTGCATCATCCCTTATTCATGGCTTTCAGTTTTTTTAATTTTTCTCAGATGGACCTTAACAGTTTACATTGTGCAGATGTGATTAAAATATTCAATTTTACTGAGAAACAGAGAAACCAGGCCACATTCTCAAAATTATC